TACACATCTAGATGTGTATAAGAGACAGGTTCTATAGTATGCAATAAAGTTTTAAATTAATAGAAAGTCATCTATCAAACATAGAGATATGATTTACTACCATTTGATTCGTCTTGATGAGCTGATTTCAATGAGCTATAGATCGTCTTGATTGGATCAGTAGATAGCAAAATATTCTTAAATTACTATTATTATTTAAATTTAAGAGCGTAAACTTTTGTAATATTATGTTTTTAGTGTAATATTTTGAAATTTTACATCACCTCTGAAATATTACACTAAATTACGCCTAAACAAATTTCCTGATGATATACTTGTGTCCAAAATTATTTTAGTATTACGGAAATACGTAATTACATAATTCTGTAATTATTAAGTAATTCATTAGAAAACTCCGTATTCTGTAATTAATTTCAGACTCCGTAATTAATTTCGTATTACAAAAATATTTGGCCAGAATTAGCCTTAATTTTGGTTGATTTATACATAAAAACTTTAATAAATAATAACTCAGCACCCAGTGATCCGTTTTAGACGATCTTACTACCATTTAATTCGTCTCGATAAGACGATACTAATGGTAGTAAGATCATTTAAATCCAATCACTATATCGCGCTCCAATACTAGTGTTCTGAACAGATCGGATTAGACTAGATTTGAGTTAAATCTGATCTGATCCGAATTCAAATCAAATTAAATCAGATTCAATCCGATCCGATTCAGATCCAAATTAGATTTGATTCAATTCGATCTGAATCTGAATTAGATTTGATCTGATCCGATCCGAATCCCAACTGATTTGATTTGATCTGATCTGGATCTGAATCAGTTTTCATAATTAAAAACGTTTTTTGCAATGTTTTTTTATTAATATTGTTAAAAGACGTTGCAAAACGACTTTTTATGGCAAATTATCAAACAAAAAAACGTTTTGCAACATTTTTATTAAACAATTGTGAAAATGATTTTTATTGGTAAAATTATTAAATAAAAAACGTTTTCACAACATTTTTTTTTTATATAGTTAAAATCCGCTGCGAAAAACGTTTTTATTTCGTTAAATTATCAAATAAAAAATGTTTCGCAACGTTTCTTATTAATACAATTAATAAATATTGCGAAAAATGTTTTTTTTGTTAAATGCATAAATAGAAATGTTAAACGGCGTTATTTTATGAAAAAAGATGCTGTTTTAGCATCTTTTTCATTTTTTTATCAAAAAAGGTGCTGAAACAGCATCTTTCGTATTATTTTATGAAAAAAAGATGCCGAAACGGCATCATTTATATTATTTTATGAAAAAAAATGCTGTTTCAGTATCTCTTTCATTTTTTTTATCAAAAAAATGCTGAAACAGTATCTTTCGTATTATTTTATAAAAAAGATGCTGAAACAGCATCTTTTCGTATTATTTTATGAAAAAAAAATGCCATTTTTGGGGGCCCGTTAAAGCGAGGTAGAATTACGTGATTTAAAATTATTATAATTTGATAAATTTTTTATAAACTAAAATTAAAGTGAACTTGAAAATCATTAAATAAGTGTATTTCAGCCTGCTCCACAAGTTTACTTAGGGAGAAAAAGTGGATTTTGAACAATGTTTTTAACTTTACATATGAGCAAACAAATTTTGCTAATCATACCCAAAAAAGGATAGATCAATTTTAACGAAATTGAAAAGTTGAATAAATCGAAAACGGTGTTCTAAACCTCATTTTGTGCTCTCTAAGTAAACTTGCAGAACAGGTCAAAATGCAGCTAGTATATGTTTATTTGGAAGGTTTTATATATAATAAAGAGTTTTATTTAAAAAAAAGAAAATTTCGAAAGTCACGTGATTCTACTCTGCTTTAACAGTCCCCCATTTTTGGCATGTTTTTCATTATTTTATCAAAAAAGATGCCGAAACAGTATCTTTCGTATTATTTTATGAAAAAAATACTGTTTCAGCGTCTTTTTCATTTTTTTTATCAAAAAAGATGCTGAAACAGCATTTTTTCGTATTATTTTATAAAAAAAAGATGCCAAAACACATCTTTTAATATTATTTTATGAAAAAAAATGCTGTTTGGCATCTTTTTCACTTTTTTATCAAAAAAGATGCCAAAACAGCATCTTTTATATTATTTTATGGAAAAAAATGCCGTTTCAGCATCTTACTCATTTTTTTTATCAAAAAAGATGCCGAAACAGCATCTTTTGTATTATTTTATAAAAAAGATGCTGTTTCGGCATCTTTTCATTTTTTTATCAAAAAAAATGCTGAAACAGCATCTTTTCGTATTATTTTATAAAAAAAAATTGATTCGCAACGGGTTTTAATCATTTTAATAAAAATGTTGTGAAATGTTTTTTAACTTAATATTTCGCAACGTACACAGGTCGAAATATGAAAAATCAGTCATCAATCGGTCATATGACTGATTGGTGACTGATTGGTTACCTATTAGTGACCGATTCTTTCAATCTGTTACCTATCGGTCACCAACCAGGCATAGATTGTCAATCAGTCACCAATCGGTCATATGACCGATTGG